CAGGGTCAACAGCTCCCCTTTTTGGTCAACACGGCCCGTGTTGCTTTTGCAGTGTAAATCCAACACGGCTCGTGTACCCCTCTGAATCCGAATCCAACCTTGATTTTTTTCAACTTTTTCGTTCTTCGCCCGATCATCCCGAAATCCTCACCAATGCTTCCTGACACTTCCCAAAGCGCGTTCCAACCTCCGGTTTACCTGAAAAGACATAAAAGTGTGCAAATAAGGTTGTTCTAGATACTAACATGAATATGATGAAATGCAAGACAAATGAAGAACAATTATGCTAAATAGATGTATGAAAAGGGACTAAAAGATGTGCAAAAAGGTGCACAAATTGCACCTAACAAAGCTGCAAATCAATCTCAAGTTCCCACCGCCTGGCGGCCTCCTGTAGATCTAGCAAAGTATCACATCGCTGGGTGGAAACAAACTGACAGATATCGGTCTTGAGCATGCTCAGATAACGTGTCATCTGAGCCTGCTCAAAAGCAAACTCCGGGTAAAACACTGCCCTTTCAGTAAACATTCGGGTGATCTCCGTCACCGACTCAGTACCCTGTCTCAGATCCAAGAACTCCTGAGCTAACCGTTCCCCCTCAACTCGTGGGATATAGCGAGCACGGAACATATCCCTGAACTGCTCCCAAGTAACCGCAGCTCTTTGATCATCAGTATAAGACCCAGTCATCAACCTCCACCAGTCCTTTGCCCCAGACCTTAACAGGTTCAGGGCACATCTGACCTTCTGGTCAGTAGGACACAAAGATGTGAAGAAACACCCCTCCACATCAGATAACCACCTCATGACCTTGATGGGATCCTGAATCCCATCAAAAGTAGGGGCTTCATGTTATCAAAGTACCGGTACTGGAATGCCCTACTAGCTCCTCCCCTGCCGCTGTTACAGTCTTTGTAGCTACTACGGTAGCCGTTTCAGCAAGGGTGCGTATCTGTCATCGAAATACTCTATCATAGCGGTCTTAATAGACCCAAACATCTCCGGAATCTGACCCCAAACAATCTCTACCACCTCTTTGCGGATGATCTCCCTGACTTGATCCTCTGTCAACGTTAGCCCATCCTTGCCGATAACCTCGGGCGCTGTCGGGGCCTCCTGATCGCCCTGCCCTGATCCCGATCCGGATCCAGTCACAAAACACCTCATAACCACCATACTGAAAATATAACAGGAAGATATCAGATAATCCACATAAATAACAGGGAACCAACTCCCGACTAAACCTTAGGGGTTGTGACTTCCTTGCTACGCGTATGGGTCCTGTGCTTTCAGTAGTATGGGCCCATACTACCTTTCACACCTACCCATATTTGTCTCAAGTATCACCACAACACCCTAACAATATACATAGACATGGTGGTCGTTCAATCCTCACTCCTAGAGGAAGGCTAACTGTCTCACAACTGACCTACCAGCCTCACACAACTCACCCATGAAACTTCCACCAATCCTGCAGCACTCGTGTATGCTAACCATACATAACGCTGGACCCTATAGACTTTTGAATACCTGATCCTACCCTAAGCCCTTCATCAAACAAGAATAGGAAATAAGGCCAAACCAAACATTCTCAGGCTATAAGATCTTAATTATGTACAACCGTGATGCATACACAAACAACTACAATAATGATGTCAATTTCATATAAGGAAACCCTAGGCTATCAGGTATCATACAATCAAACAATTCTATCATGCAATTCCTGAAGATCCCTAGCCTAGTACTAGCATGTTGTTCTAACATATCACAATATCACATAACCGTATGGTATTTTGGGGTCTACTTACTGGCTCCGGCTGATCGTACACTCTGCATCCTCCTTTAGTATTTTTAAAACCATTTAGAAATCATTTTGAAAATCCTTTCCTTGATTTGAGACTGGATTCACACGAGTGTTCCTCCAATTCACTCAAACCAAGGCTTTGATACCAACTTGTAACATCCATAAAAATCATGCCAAATTTGAACTTTTTAAAACATACAAAAAATCATTAAGTTATTACAATTCGTTTTCAAAATAGTATCATATCAGAGTTCCCAGAAATCATAATCATAAATCGAGAAAGTGTATGGTCACGCCTTCGCCTTCCCACGATCATTCGAAGTACCTGAAACAATAATCGATAAATGTAAGCTCGAAGGCTTAGTGAGTTACCCCCAAAATACCAACTCCATACATATATAAGCATATCATATAAACATATAAGCAAACAACCATGCATAATGAGCCTTCAGCCTGACTGGACCGCCTCGGAGGCCTTCAGCCTATCTGGACTGCTCTCCGAGCCTCCGACACGTCTGGACCGCCTCGCAGGGTCTACAGCCTATCCGGACCGCTCGTTGGGCCTTCGGCCTAACTGAACCCCTTTGCAGGACCTTCGGTTTATCCGGACCGCCCTGGGTATGTTGGCCTTCAGCATAAAGAAGGACCGCCTCAACCCAACCCCCAATCAACAAACATGTGCAATACATATCATACATATCATACGCTAGCATATATATAACAGTCAAACTGATCTAACCGATCACTAATCATAGCAACATCCTATTACCAGGATACAGACCTAACCGGTCACTAACATAGCATATCACCATCCTGACTACCATGATGTAAATCAATAAGCATATCATGAAATAAACCCGTATCCAAATCCGATAAGGGACGATATTGGTGCCTTAGACCCACTTGATATAGTGAGGATAACTCACCTCGCAAGTAATGTTGAAATGAACAGAAAGCCTCCAATTGCTGTCTCACCGCAAATCCCGAACTATTCAAATAATAAATATTAAGTCAATAAACAGGAATATCAATCTTGACTAAGAATCCACATAGTCCATTTCACCCTTTTTCTCTAATTTGTGCCAAGGCCCAATATCAATTCACTATCCAAGAGTCCATATACATAAGCCCATTAATGGCCCAATTTACCAAATTGGGCCCAACTACCTATTTGAGCCTTATTCTAAGATCCATATTCAAACTGGCCCAAAACACCATTATTCAGAAAGCCCATCTAGGCCCAAGTCCAACTAGTCCAAAGGTGGCCCAATCCCGAAGCCCAATTTGACAAAGGCCCAACAGAGGACATATGCGGGGCGTACTCCTCTGGTACGCTGGTTGTACTCTTCTCGGTGTTGACCACCATCGGGGTGATTGACTCAGTACGCTGGGCATAGAGGATTTACGAGAGGCTTACGCAGGGTTTTGCTAAAACCCTAATAAATGCTTAATGACTTAAGCACTTAAGCCCAAATTCTAGATCCGTCGACCAAATGCGTCTTTGAATCATAAAGGCACGAACTTTAAGACTTTGGACGTCCAGAAAGCTCTTAACACATGGTCTTAATCCATTAAAACCTTCCTACTCCATGCATGAGACATATTTAGCTATTGGGACATATTTTTATCACTTAGAACCTCCTCAAGGGCCTGAAAGGACAGCTCATCTTGTCCAAATCATATCATGCATCAACTTGGGACTTTTGGGACAAGAAAGGGTTTCTTAAAGCTAAAATGGCAAGATCTATAACATACATGCATAAAGTGTGAAGCTTTTTACCTTCTGGAGCTTCTAGGGCACCAAACAACTTTAGATCTACTAGCTTGTTCTCCTTCTCCAACTCCTTGATGCAACACCTTCTTCTCAAACTACTCAAAATACACACTATAAGCTCACATACTCAAGGAAATGATTAGGATTTGGGGAAAACGGCTCTAAACCGTGGAGGCTGAGGTAAGAGAGGGTTATGAGCTCATAAGGTTGTTTATATAGCCCCCAACCGTAAATATTAGGGTTTTCTCTAGACATAAGTACGCCCAGCGTACACAAGTGTACGCCCAGCGTACTAAGGCGTACCTTAATATACTTAGCGTACTCTTATGTACGCTCAACGTACTCCTTTCTGATCCAAGGTTGCAACCTTCGCCCTTAGACGTATCTTGGCTTTACACTTCCGACTTCAAGGACTACAAGTGACATGATAATGATAGAAGAGAGGATTCGGAAATACCTGTAAAATCTCAGGATGTTACACCAATAACCAAGCCAACGTGACCATTCCAGACACCTCTCCTGTAAGTAGATTAATCAGTATAATGACTTGGAATTACTGATAAATCTTATTTATAGGGTCATAATAATGACTTATGACTATAAATATAAGTTACACTGAAATAAGGATGAGTGTAATTTAACTAATAGAGTTTTCCGAGACAAAAGTCCGGAAATTGCACTGACAGAGCTTCTACTTGATAGCTACTACTACTTTAGGGATCACAAGGCTTCGACATAGACTAAAACCAAGGGAAATAGGTTAAAATCGAAAGCAACTCGAGAGAGAAGAACTTGCACGACATTTTAAAGTGACATCTCCCCAGCTGCTTTGTGTTACATGTCGGTCTTTCCATGGTCCGCGTTTTCACCTTCTAGAAGTGTACGTCATGCACCCGGAGTGCACCACGTACGTCTCAAAAAACAGATTTTGTAAATTACATAACTTCTGCATACAAGCTCTATTTTTAACGTTCTTTATATCCTCGGAAAGATCTCAACGTGATCTACAACTTTCCTTTAGACTCCATCACCTAATTTTGAATTTATTTTTCGTTACTATTTTTTATATGATTAAATGATTTTGCTTAAATCATAACTCTCTCGTACGGACTCCATTTTTGACATTCTTTTTCTCAAAATTCCTATCTTAAAGACTACTACGATTTTTTTGGTGGCTTTAGCTAAAAGTCAACAATTCTCTTTGTAGCTTTTTACGTCTTACATTCCTTGTACACGACTGATTTTTATATATTATAAAAATCATATCTAATTCATACGGAGTAACATTTTTATGAAATTTATATTTTTGGGATTGAGACGACGTGTACTATATATATATATATATATATATATATATATATATATATGGGTGTTACACTAGGCGAGCTATTCTGTTCAACCACGGGGACCACATTGATTTGATGTCGCTTTCTGTTTCTAGTGTTGATCCAAAGAAAGTGCATGATTTTGTTGAAGATTACATGATGTTCATAAGATTGTTCATGACAATTTGGTTCGAGCCAACTCCAAGTACAAGTAAGATGTAGATAAAATAACGTAGACAAGTTGATTTTGAAGTATGTGACTTTGTTTGGGCTGTTTTAACTAAAGATTGCTTTTCGGTTGGTGAGTACAACAAGTTGTCAGCCAAGAAAATTAGACCCGTGGAGATTGTGGAGAAGATCAATTCCAATGCTTATCGTCTACAATTGCCAAGTCATACTCATTGTTCTGATGTTTCAATGTAAAGCGTTTTCTTCCTTATCATAGCTTCAGATGATGAACATGGTACACATTCGAGGTCGAATTTTGTCTACCCAGGATAGGATGATCCAAGCTTTAGTGTGGAAGATCGGGCCCTTACGTTCCTAGAGGCCCATGATCGTGTGATTAAAGAGGTTTGACGAAAATGACCATAACTTTGACTACTGGGCTTCGTTTTAGGCCTACGACCCGTCAAAACGAAGCTCGGAGCAATGAGCATGTCATGATAAGTACATGTATGGGACCTACCCATTTTTTAGTCCATAAATTGCTTTTTAAATGGAATTATGAACAATTTTGTTATTTTTTCATAGTTTTTGGGGTTGTATTTGGCCCATGGATTTTTAGGATTTCGTTTTAATTTCCGTTACTTATTTAATTGTTTCTGATGCAATTTGGATGATTATTCATTAGTTTTAAGAACTTTCAATTTTCTTCCAAAATTATGTGTTGAACCAGATTTTGAAGTCAATCCTACAATATTCATAGAATCAACATGGTTGGAAGAGATTGTCATGAGTATTCTTTTAGAATCTATATGTTTATTGTTATTTATCTTTGTTCGGTTTTGAACGTTGCATCAGTTCTTATTTATTATAATAATATAGTGGTAAACTTTTGAGACGCATAAAATCACATAAAAATATTCGGATTTAATTAGTTGATGACTAATAAAATAACCAAATAATTTTGTTATAATAATTAAAAATTATTCTTTAAATATTAATTGAATTAACTTTTAAATGGTAGCTTTACCTTCGAATAAAAATTCTATACCCATTCATTTAAAGAAAGGTTTTTTTTAAAAAAAAAATTAACTAAAGAAATTTAAACTCTTAAAATACAAAAAGAAAAAAAAAATTATATATTAAACCAAAAAGATGTTATTCAATAAAAAAAGTTAAACGAAAGAAATTGTTTTTTTTTTTTTTTTTCAAAGTATACGGAGGCTAAAAGAAAAAGAAAAGAGAGAGAGAGATAGATACAGGCCGGTCATCTTTCACCAGTTGTTGACTTTTACTTTCTTCCCCTTGTGTAATAATGTGTATATAGGTGTGTGGATAAAATCAGTTCACTGTGAAATAATCACATCTCAAGGTTTTTCTCAAATTTCGTTCATATTCATACGTAATCATCCCTCGCTGACGCAGACTCGCAGATATATTGTCAGTTGTACTGATCTTCTTTTTTGTAGCCTGTGTGTCAAGCAATTAGGTTTTTAAATCAGTGGTGTCCCTGTGCAGATGGCACAACCAATCGCTAGAATTCCGATTGATTCATCAGCTCGCTTAAAACCTTGTGAAGATCTACTGAACGGTAACTAGCCATTTTACTCCTTTACTTCTTTAAATGTACTGCTATTTTACGCCAAATTTCATATAAAAAAGAAGAAGATTTCTATGCACGAGCGCTCCACACTTAAGTGTTTGTACTTTTCCATTTCTGTTTCCACCATTTTCCTCGGAGACAATTAGGAATTTTTGCGAACGATGTAAAATCAACATTTAAACGGCAGTTCTCTAATTCTCTCCCTCTTTTGGGAAACTAAAAATTACTAAAGTAAATTACGGAAATAGTCCAGTGGTTTAGTTAAAATTGCACGTTTCTTCAGTATTTTTATTTTCAACGTGCAACAAAAACAAATGTGGAGAGTGAAAAAGAAAAGGATAGGGACGAAACGCAGAGTCTTGACCAAACCACAAGAACGACTTTTAGTCTAAATTATATTTCATTCGATTGTATGGAAGGTTCTTTGTTTCTTTTATAATTACACCTGAGATGCATTGTTGTTTCATAGAAAGCCTACTCTAAATGGTAAATGATTTTTAGTTCTCATAAATAATATGATAGATTTGATTCAGAGACACCAACATGTAAAACTAAAATCACAATGTGCTTGATTTTTATGTGGTAAACCATAAAAGACTGTGCGTATGTACAAGAATTGATGTTTAATCATAGTGAAAAGTTAAATGAATATTGCAATTGTACCTGATTAACTTTGAATTGGAATTACTTCAAAGGAACCAGAAAAGAGTATATTGCAATCGCTATCCCTCTATATGAAGCATCCATTAAAGGTGATTGGAAAGCTGCTAAAGCCATTCTTGATAAAAGGCCAGAGTTAGTAAGGTATAGTATCACTGGAAATAATGAAACAGCACTTCATGTTGCTGCATCGGCAAAAAGCACCAAACAGGTTAAAGAGTTCGTGGAACATCTGGTGGGTTGCATGGAAACGACAGACCTGGAACTTGAAAATAACAGTTCCAACACTGCACTCTGTTTAGCAGCTGCAGCTGGGAATCTTAAAATGGTTAAGATTATGCTGACAAAAAACAGAGCCTTAGTATCAGTTACTGGTAGTCAACAAATGACCCCACTTTATATGGCTGCCTTGTTTTCACATTATGAGGTGGTGAAGTATCTGTACAAAAATTCCCAAAAGTTGCATGATGATTGTTGGACAGCTCAAAATCGTGGTTGGCTTCTTCAGAAATGTGTTGAGAATGATATGTTTGGTAAGAGTTGTAGCATGTAGTTGTTACACCTACATATTATGTTGGTTGTTTAATTAGTGATTGGAACCATGTAGACATTGTATGAAAGAAAGCTTAAAGCTGTTTCGTTCTTGGTGATTTTTGTTTCTTTTGTCATATAACCTTTTTCCCTCACAAGTGATTATCAAATCTCTTTTAGATATCGCACTAGAGATACTTCAGGAGCACCAAGAACTTAGTAGTAGTGGGATTGTACTTGCTGTTTTGGCTCGAAAGACGGATGTATTTGCTGAAACAGAATCTAATATCATCATGAGAACCATCAACTGGGGTAAGCATCTCTACTCCTTGATATTGATTTTAATTATACATGTTATTTTCAACATCCATCGATTTTTACTTGCTAAATTCGGGCATATTCCTCAATTTGGTTTCTTTTCTGGTTGTTACTTTGAGTTTTTACAGTCATTCGTCCAAAGATGCAAGCTCTTGAAAAGGAAAGCAAAGCTAACGCATTGCAGATACTAAAAACCATTTGGCATAATATTGCTGAGAAACCTAGGAATGAAATTGATGCCATACTGAGAGGCCCTCCTGATCCTCCCGTTAAGCGAGATGAAAAGTTAGCTTCTGACAAGGAAGATCAAACTCTGCAACTACTGAAACTCATTTCAGATAATATTGTCAAAATACCTGTTGAACTCCATAACATAATCACAGGGCCTGCAGCTACAACTTTGGAAGATCCGTATGTACCCCGACCAAAACAAAAGTACTCTTCTAGAGTACTATTTGTTGCCACAGAGGTGGGCAATACTAGATTCGTAGTTGAGCTTATCCGTCTATATCCTGATCTAGTATGGAAAATAAATGACAACAATCAAAGTATATTCCACGTTGCTGCAAGACATCGTCATGTGGATATCTACAACCTATTGCATAAGATAGGCTCAAATAAGGATATGATAACCCCTCTCAAAGATGAGAATGACGATAATATGTTGCATTTAGTTGCGAGGAGTGTGGAGAGAAAGCGACTTGAGGATGTGTCCGGAGGTGCTTTTCAGATGCAACGCGAACTATTATGGTTCAAGGTATGTATTCCTCCCCAAACCTTTTTTTTTTTTCGTTACATAATTTTGTTTTATCCCTGAGTATCTAAAATTGACGTAAAATAAGTTGTTAAAGGCTCCTGTAGCAGGAAGCAATTTAGATACGCACTTGTTCTAATGCATGGCATATATTCATTATTTATTTATTTTTATATTATGGTGGTGTCACGGTCTTCATTTGAGTAAACTATTTTTCCTTCTGTTTATATCTAGTGACCTTGTAACCAAGAGGATAATCAGCCACAAACACGTGTTCTTTGCGATTGGCATGCCTAGTTAATTGACACCTCAATCAAATTTGATCTACTCGATTTTTATATATGTTGTAGGAAGTAGAGCAGATGATCCCACCTTCTTATCGGGAACGAAAGAACAAAGATGGACTAACACCACGCGAGTTATTCACCAAGGAGCACCAAGATCTAGTTGTAAAAGGTGAGGAATGGATGAAAGGAACAGCTAGTCAATGTATGGTGGTAGCGGCTCTTATTGCCACCATTGTATTTGCTGCAGCTTTTACAGTTCCAGGTGGATACAATCAGACAGATGGTATCCCATTCTTCAACCGAAACACAAGCTTTTTGATTTTCGTGGTGGCAGATGCCATATCTTTGTTCTCATCATCAGCTTCAATACTCACCTTCTTATCCATCCTCACTTCTCGTTATGCGGAGTATGATTTCTTGGAATCATTACCTAGAAAACTGATGTTGGGTCTAGCAACACTTTACCTCTCAATAACAACCATGATGATTGCTTTTAGTGTTACCTTCTTTGTGCTATACCGTAATGATCTTAAATGGATACCAATCCTTGTTACTGTGATTGCTACCATGCCGGTCCTTCTGTTTGCTGCACTGCAATATCGTCTCTTAAAAGACGTAATTCACTCGACATATGGTTCTAGCTACCTCTTTCGGCCGAAGAAACGTGTTCTCTATTAAGAAAACTCTAATTCTTAACTATCGTGGTTGTTTTCCAAAATATTTGAAATGTTGTAAGATCAACAATTCTAGTTGTAATATACATAATTCAATAGTTGTTATAATGGTTTTGTTTGATTCTATAAGACGAGACATAAAAATGTGACATTTAATGATGTCGGTTTTGGAAGGCAATTTGGAGCCGGAGGGTTGAATAAGTATATTGACTGTTTACATTCTTATCTTGAATGCAAGTTTTTCCATATAGGATGAGAGACTAAAAATCCGCTTCACTTGACTTGGTTTACCATCACATGTAACTGTTCACTTCATTGGTATTTTATACGAACTGGCCATGTCTATGTCATGGCTTCTCGGTTATCACACAGCCGTGACACATGCAACGGATTCATCTGCATGCGACTCTAGCAGTTGTAATTCATCCAAAATTCACATGTTTTACAGACAATGTTGTATTTCAATGTTACCAAACACTGATTCCAGTTCACACCACATTGTATGTCCGTTATAGGCCATCAATTTCAACAAGAATCAAAGATTTAATACCTATTTCAGCTAAATTCAACCAAAAGCATAACCCGGGTTCATGATTTAAACATGCCATCAAAACATAGGCGGAAGCACATTGGATCCCGGGGTATCCTAGGACGCCCCTCAAAAAATATTAGCAGTGTAAATATTTTCGGAGATCTCGAAACACGGATTTGTTCTACCCACATACCAACTCACTCAATCGAGATCTTGAAAATGGAACGGAGCTCTAGTGGATTTTGTTTGCTCTATTCATCTCAATCGTCTTCTTTATCTCATCTTCTGAATCATTCTATCTCCCCAGCATTGCGCCCCGTGATTTTCAAAGGGTACGTACTCCGGAAGCCCTCGATATCCTTTGGATCTAGCAGTAGTATTTTCTTTTGATTTAATGTAGTTAATGTAACTCAAATCGGCATCTTTCTATATGTTTAACGCGAATGATTTGTCTCTGTTGCTCTCAGTCTATAGCGCATGATCCGTACCAACCGAGCTTAAATCTAGGGTTATTGCTTTGAGTTTAAATTTCAACTTCCAATGAAAGTCACTGATCTGTTATACACAGATTTGGTGTTGGTAGTTAGATCTAATTAGTTGACTTTAGCATGCTGAAGAATGATTTCTTCTTTCTGTTCCTATTCCTAGACTGAACTTGTTGCTTGCCTAATGCCGGATTTATATTATTGACAAAAGAAGTTGTAAATGTTCTTTATGTAACATGTGTCATGCTTTAAATGATAATTCTTTCCTCTAGCGTTACAGGGTGGATGCATTTGTAGTGACAAGAGATATATAGGTAGTAATTACAAAGTAAAGATCACTTAAGTGTAAATGATGGTTAAAACTTGTAAAGTACACATCACTATAATTGGTGAGTGCTGGTTTAGTCAACACATAGTTTTTATTGACCATCTCATTTCCAAATCTTATTGTATATTACACAATTTTTTTTGGGATACTCCTTTACTTTGACTCAGACTCCGGCACTGCATCAAAATTATGGTTTCTTCACACGACCATGCATCAAAACCTTGTCTAGATCTAATTGATGGTAACTTCTGCTTACCATTTTACTCATTTACTTCGTTAGATATAGTACTATTTTTCTAGGATTGGAAAAATAAAACAAAACAATATTGTATAATTCAGCATCTCGTCAACAAAACTCACTAATAATATCATGTTGAAACGTGCGCAAGCATGTAATACGATGTAACAAAGAAGATAGAGATGGGAAAGTGGATAATTTAGTGATTGAGCCAAACCCTAAGACTTCACCATCTAAATGTGTCAAAGTCAAAGGAGACGTTGATTATTTCTTATTTACACAACACCCTCTACACAATTAATTATAAGCCATTTACACCTACATTCTCCACCTTAGCTTGCAAACTAAACTACTTTCATGTTTCTAAAACAGAAACTCACCTGCAAGTGAAAGTGTAAACCTCCTAATCACTGCATTTGAAACCAAAATCATGAGGCGGTGAAGCATCAATTAAAGGTGAATAGTTACAGAATATTTGAATTGTCTCTGCCTCCTTGATGAATGGGGTACTAAGTTTGTCACAAGAACTGCTTTAAAGGATCTAGAAAATATTACATCAAAACTGGTATCCCTCTGTATAAAGCATTAACTATACGTGATTTGGTAAACGTGGGAAACAGAGTCCACGTTTTATCGGGCTGTTGAAAGTACTTCAGAAGATAGGGAATCAAGTATAAAAGCTTGAGTTGACAAATGAACTAGAAGGTATAACACCTTTCATGTTTGTTACTTGAGGAAGTTCTTGGGAGGAGAACCCGATATGATTCCACTTTCAGAATTAAGAGTCGAAGAAAACAAGAGGTTAGTTGAAGAACTTGAAGCGATTGTTGATCGTAAAACGAAGAAGTTGCAACACAAGATGATCAATTTGGTACTTGTGCGATGGAAGCATACTGTAGGGCCAAACCTGACTTGGGAAACAAAAAATGACATGAAAAGTCACTATCCATAACCGTTTGCTATGTATGATTTCGGGACGGAATTATCCTAAGTGGGTGATAATTGTAACACCCATATTTCTCGTTAAGCCTTTGATAGAATAATCCTTATTTATGTTGGTTGATAATATAAATTTTCTGATAAATAAATAAATACGAATTTCCTCGTACATGTATGTATTTGTATAAATATTATTTGTATATATTTATATAGTACATGTTATATGGATAAATATTACGGTGATATAATATTTGTATAAAACCCTATTAAAAACTTAGCAGATTATGTTAAATGACGTCTATACTTAATAAATTAGTTTGATTAAATAATTTATATGAAAGTTGTAGTAATCGTGATTAGAAACTTGTAAGTATATAAAGAACGTCAAAATTTGGCGTCGTATGAAGAAGTTATGGTTTTTCGAAGTTATGTGTTACAACGTATTGGGCCAGTATTTATCATAAAATACGAAATGAAAATAGATTACATATTCGCCAAAGTAATGTAAACGAGAGTAGATGTCTACATAATTACGAAATCGTAGATATAAAGAACACCGAGAACGAAACTCGTATGAAGAAGTTATAAATTTCGCAAGAGCTTTCACTTTATACTCTTTATAAAATATAAAGTAAAAATAGATTGTGAATTAGCTATTAAGATCTAAAGTAAAGTTGTAGTACTCGGGATTACGAATCTATGTATATAAAGAACGCTGAAAACAAAACTCGTATGCAAAACTTACGATTTATCGAAGAATGCAAGAATTTACATGCAAGAGATGACATGACATCATGGGAAAACAACACGTGGCAGCTGCAGACCAAAACTCCCCCACCTACCGGCGATGGCGTGACACCTCTAAAAAAGTGACATGTGGGCGCGACACGCTTTACTATAGATGTGGCATGCTTTTCAACAGCCTATATATGGCCTCATTTTCTCACTTTTCTTCACACATTTCTCTCTCAACTTTTCCCTTAACCTTCGGGATCCGATTTTTCTGAGTTTCTAGAGAATCTTAGCAAGGTGCTGCAACGTTGAATAGCATGAGAAAAGAAGTATTCAACGTCGAAGTTCTTCCTACGGAGTTTTCAAGTTTTCACTAGAAAACTTGTAAGTTGAGTTGCATTTACTATGTTTTTAAGTGTAATTTATATTTGTATTCATTAAGATTTATAAGTAATTCCAACTATAATACTGATTGATTTACTTATAGGAGTGATGTACAGGCAAGATCTTAGTGATGTGTTTCAAGTGGATTTTCCAAACAATATATTTATATACCAAACGTACCTCCAATATGTTGTTATCTGGTCATTCTTTATTTGATAGAACTTAATATTTTTCAGGATTAATGCAGAATCTAAGATATTGTTATTATAGTCTCGAATAATATGAACGATAATTGAAACTTAGTATTATTTGTATTTAAGTCATTTAAAAGGAAAAGCGAAAGTGTGGGACGAAGAGTTAACCTACCCGAAAGTCTTCCACCTTTAATCAAGTGAGTGCGTAGTTACTTTAATAAGCATAATCTTAATAAAAATAATTTATTACTTAAAATATTAAATACATATAATAAATGATTACTATTTGCATTTTGTGCTAAATGTTTAGCCCGTATTATGATAATATTACATGAACATGAAATTGTATTGTAAGTTGATTACATGTATTGTAGTCTTGTCTAGTTATAAAATAAGGCTTGTAAACGATGTTTAGTTCGAAGTAAGTTGAATAAGTAAGTAGTCACATTCTAGGGTAAGTTGTGACATTAACGTGGAGTGTAGTAGTCCTCTTTTTAGATAGACAAAAATGGTAGGTCTGTATCAGACAACAAGGAAAGTATGTCTAGCTCATCTACCAGAGTAAGATGAAATCACTTGATTATTCTAAATGATCTTGTGAATTGTGTTGTTAGTGGAGACTTATAACCCACATACGTAGATAAAATGGGATACAATATTTATCAAATACCCTAGTGTTTGTGTTGCCTTTATGACTTACAACAGCCAATGTTGTAGAACTCGCTATTCGATACTTGTTCGACCGATTGTTGAGTAATGAGTACTCGGATTCGGTAATTCATATAGAAATATTTTTAGGGAAATTATATATGTCAAAAAATGATAAGTTAAAATCGTAAGTTGATTGAAATATATAACAAGATGAGATACATGTGAATACACAAAAAACTGAAATATACACAATGGTCTCACTTCGTAAATAATTATTGAAAATTTAAGATATATATATATATATATATATATATATATATATATATACACACACACACACACTAGTAAGATACCCGTGCGATGCGGCGAAGTTAGATAGTTCTTTTCAGCAGATAGTTTCTATGCGGCGATTAGTTTCCTTTTTGTGTTAGATAGTTTGTTTCAGCTTTTTGGTGGATTGTTTTATGTCCGATTGTTCATTTCCATGAATAGTTTCTACCTAGGTGCATCACTACAGGAGG